GAGGAGCACTTTCTGATTAGGAACAGAATAGTCAATAAGAAATAATTGTCTAAATAACTTTTTATATAGACTTAAGCCTAATGTCTGGGAAGTGAAATCCCTTGAACTCTTAAAGAAATATATTGATGACTTTACTCTGGTTATACTTTCCTTTTGGGTGTTTAAGACCATCCAGTTGGCCCAAACAAATCAGTTTATGTTTACATTTAAGATCATTTGAGAATCTGTTCCTCAGGGGTCACATGAGCTTGGGAGGAGCCCCTAGCTCCTTTCTTTTACCAGTTCCATCTATGTGAAGATAAGTCAAAGGTCCTGCTCGACCATGTCTGGCTCCACATGGAAACATGAATGAGATGTTTTTTCTGAGTTGACCCTCCTCTTTGTAATCTAAACACTGGTTCAAGTCCATCTCATGGGGGTCTCCTTGGCTTCCCTGAACAAGAGGACAGGAGAATCACCACAGTTACAGGGCATTTTGAGAGATGTTCCATAGTCTCCTGGAACTTAGTCGACCTTGGAGGGAAAGGGGCAAAAACTGTCCTTTAAGTCCCTCTGACCAGATTAGTATAGGCCTCAAACTGTGGCTGTTAAACATCCAATAAGGTTAGTTCCACAAGTCTGGTACTTTTAATTATCATGTGCTATGTAGATAAGGCTTGGGTAAAAAACCAAATATTCTCAGATAAACCTTGACTATATATATATTTTGTTCCTTAAACTAGTTGACTAAACTATGACCATAGAAATTTTAAGATTATGTAAATATTATTTTTGTTTTGTGCTTTATATATCATAAAAAACCTACATACACCTTCATCACTTACTTAGGCTTTCTCATTTTTTCTATTTTGGAAAATACCCCCATTTCCCATATATTTTAACATCTTTTACATTCTCTTTTTCTTTTTTTTAATTATGAGACATAATAGCATTAACAAATAAATTTTCTGTCTGTTGTGAGGCTTCTTTTCCTTGGGATGCTAAGCAATACTTTTCCCCTTTTCAGGGTCTAGTGTCAAGCCAATGTTTGATTAAAGTTTTACTGGGGAACCAATGAATATATTGAGATTTCTTACCAGATAACTGAGGGGTTGCTGAGGTGTATGTATGACCTGAGAGTGTGTACTCTGGTAAGCCTTAACCCAGAATGGGTCATGCCTTCTCTTCCTAGCCTTCCCCAGATTGTACACTTTAGCCTTCCTCAAATCCCAGAGGCCATGTATGATTAGGGTCAAATTCCATACAGATGGCTGGGAAGAGTGGATACTCCAGTGAGGGTCCACTGACTCTCATTATTTTATTTTATTTTTAGGGTTTTTTTTTTTCTCACACAAAGTCTCATGTAGCCCAGGCTGGCCTTGAACTTCTGTAGCCAAAGTTAGCCTTGAACCCTTGACTCAACTGCCTTCACCTCCTGAGTGCTGGCATTAAAGGTATGTATGCCACAACTAGGTACATTTATAGCTATTCTTTCAGGGCTATCTCAGTCCTATGGTTAGAACAGAGGTGTACTGAAGTAATATTCACATTTTGGAAGTTGAGTGTTACACACACTCACTGCCCTACTTGTGAAGCCCTCTCTCTGTTCCTCACCCCTACAGAAACCCTACTGAGTCTGTATTTAGCATGAATATATTTATACTGTTTTTTCACCAACTTGTACAATTGTGTACATCCTGAAAAGTGGAAAAGTAATTCTAAGAAAAAAACATAAGTGAAAACCAAGGCTATCCTAGGTATAGCAATGGCATGTGTTTCACAAGGGCTAAATGAGTTACCTCCTCTAGGTGATTTAAGAGCCTGGGAGATGACTCTGTGATTAAGAACATTGAATGTTCTCGGAGAGGACATGGATTCAGTTCTCAGCACCCATGTGGTGGTTCACAACCACCTGCAACTCCAGTTCCAGGGAATCTGATGCTTTCTTCTGGCCTATGTGGGCACCAGGCACACATATGGTACATATACATACACGCAGGCAAAATACATGCACAATTTTTTAAACCTTAATTCAACATTATCTCTGTGTGTGTGTGTGTGTGTGTGTGTGTGTGTGTGTGTGTGTACTATAGCTTGAACCTTGAAAGTTCTCAAAAGGCCCATATGTTAAATAAAGGTTTAATCTCAAGCTTGGCTCTGTTGGAAGGTGATCCCACAACAGTGAGAGATTTTAGGTTATCAATGGGGTGTCCCAGAAGGGGATAATGGAATGCTACCTCTCCTTTCTTTCTGTATTTTCTCTCTAGCCGTGAGGTGAGCAGTTTTGCTCCATGATGCTTTTACACAATGATGATCACCTGAAAACTCTAAAATTGTAAACTAAAATAAAGCTGGGATGCCTACCTGCCATCTCATGAAATTAGGGTCAGGGGAGGGAGAGTTTGATAATATTAGGCTTTGTTTAGACCATGTTGACCAGTCTCCATACCTTTCTTGTACTTTTCATGAGTATATGAAACGTATTATTTCATTGGTCCATTGGTACGTTAATGTGAGAATGAATGAGATTATAGCAATTTATGGCTATATTTTACATTTTCAATGGTTTAGGGTGTCTTCTATTAAGTCTGTTTATACTTATGCTAAATTCTAATACTTTAATAATATTTTGCCTCATGAAATGAAATCAATGTTAGTCTGAAATGGAAGAGTCATATGGAAAAATAAATATGACTCTTAAAAATGAGTAGATCTTGTTAATCTGTTAAGCTTTGTGAAAACTCTGTAGCTGTATCAGTTAAAACTTTGATTTGACTTTTGAAAGCCTGGCTTTGACCAGAAAAGAAAAACAGTTAAAGTAAATATTAAGACTAGAATTGTTGGGCCTGGAGAGATGGCTCAGAGGTTAAGAGCACTGACTGCTGCTCTTACAGAGGACCAGGGTTCGATTTCCAGCACCCACATGGCATTACGAATAGTCCTTAACTCCAGTTCCAAGGGAATCCTGAAGCCCTCTTCTGACCTCCGTGGCATTGCATGACATGGGTGTACTCATGTACATTAAAATAATAAAAAAAAAATTTTTCATGTACAAAATAAAACTATAAACAACATATTTTTAAAAGACTAGAGTTGTTTATATAAAATTTAACTTTGCTGTATATAGATCCTTAAATTCACTTAAATTACTTACATAGTAATGAAGAATAAATACCTTCTTGACTCAAGCCTGAAGGATATATTATTTTATCTGTATCTGTTTAACCCATTATCAGAAGTATTCAATTTATTGCATGTTTTTGTCCACGGTGTACTCTGATGAGCAAGCATGCAGAAGAGAAAACATTATTTATTTATCTAATCAACAAGATGGAACACCTCAAATACTGAATTGATGTTTCAATCCATTGTACCACCTCTCTCTGTCCTCAGAGAAAGCATCCTTTCTGACTACTCAGGGATGGTTTACTTGCATACATCAAGAAACAGCTAGGGCTAAGCCTTGTCTAAAGGAGGCTAAGAACTAAAGAAGTACAATGAGAAATGTGGGGAAGAGTAAGAACATCCAGTGTGGTTGTAGAGAACACATATTTTATGAACTTCCCTGAGTCCCTTACGAGGGACTTAAATCTGCTTCACTCAGAACGACCACTGTTGCTCCTTAAACCCACCACACACTTTCCCAGAAGCATAGGTTATGGATTTCCCACAACATCTCACCCTGGATTGCTTTCTTCTCTTTTCCACTATTCAAATATGTCTATCAAGAAGCCTTCCTGGGGGCGCTGGAGAGATGTCTCTGTGTTTAAGACCACTGGCTGCTCTCGCAGAGGACCTAGGTTCAGTTCCCAGCACCCATATGGCAACTAACAGCTACCCTAACTCCAGTTCCAGGGAATCCAACACCCTCTTCTGGCCTCTCAGACATTGCACGTATGGGTGCACTTATATACATGTAGGTTAAACACTTATACACACAAAAATAAATAATCTACAAAAAATTTTTAAAGAAGCATTGCATTCCTGGGCCATTGAACCCAAAAGAAATGACTTCCTCTCCATTTGTTCAATGGTGAGGTCCAAGTGAGAAAGGTTGTATATAAGGAAACCTAGACAAGATATTTAAACATCCATTATTTATTTATTTATTTTTGAGACAGCATCTCACTGTGTAGATCAAATTGGCCTGGAACTCACAGGTGTGTTCCTCTGCCTGCCTTTACCTCCCGAAAGCTGAGGATTAAATGTGTGCACACATGGCCTAGTCCATCTTTTTTTTTTTTTTTTTTTTTTTTTTAGTGACCTTGAATAAATACCAACAATTCCTATGCTCTTTCTGCCCTTCATCCTTAAAAAGGAGTAAGTGGTGTGAATCTCTGCTCCAGCTTAAGCATGTTGGGGGGGTAATGTTTCCCTGGAAGCATTTTGTATATAGTAATTGGCTATGCTTAGGAATTATTTCTACCAAATTCAGCTGTGATGATTTACATTGAGTTGATCATAATATTTTGTGCCTGTTTTTCCTATCTACTCAACCCAATTGAATACATATTTGCTTTCATGATAGTAAAATTAGTATGTGTTTATGACAGACATTTTAAAAGAACTAAATTGAAAGAAAATTCAAGAAATAAAAGGAAAACCCCAGGAAATGTCATAATAAATAACTAAACCAGGGAATTGTGACATTAACATTTTAACTTCATATCTCACATAAGTACTCTTATGAACGTATCTGTCCGTGTTTTGTAAGTTGCTTCACTCGCTCAGCATACTCTATGTATATTTTTATTCCTCGGTCCTATTTTCACATCTTCAAGTGCAGGCACCACATTTTGACTTTGGTCAAGCCCTGCCGAACACTAAACACTGTACCTTGAGTAAAATAAATGTTTATTATATGGACTTTCTCATAGAAAGACTCAAAAGAGTTTGATTATTTAACTATAAAGTCAAGTGAAATGCAAGTCATGTCTTTAAAGGTGACTCTGAGTTCTTATCAATGAACTGAGGTCATTGTACCTAACAGGGACTTATTTCTTGATCTCCTTTCCTCCTAGTTTGTTGCCCAACCCAACTGTCAACAACTGCTTGCATCTCGCTGGTACGATGAGTTCCCAGGCTGGAGGAGAAGACACTGGGCAGTGAAGATGGTGACGTGTTTCATAATAGGACTTCTTTTCCCGGTCTTCTCTGTGTGCTATCTGATAGCTCCTAAAAGCCCACTTGGACTGTTCATCAGAAAGCCATTTATCAAGTTTATCTGCCACACAGCCTCCTATTTGACATTTTTGTTCCTGCTGCTGCTTGCCTCTCAGCACATCGACAGGTCAGACTTGAACAGGCAAGGTCCACCACCAACCATCGTCGAGTGGATGATATTACCGTGGGTCCTGGGTAAATGTGTTACTATAGAAAATATAATAACAAACGTGTTACTGCCATGGAATTTTGTTGCTCAGAAGAACAATATCCATTAATGTTTGGGTTATGGTAATAGTACACATAGGTTCAGACCATGGTAGCTCTAAGACCTAATCCTCAAAATGAAACAGGTATTTTGCAAACTGTGTGGAATAACTCTCAAATGCAGCTGTGAAAAGTAACCTTAAGTTATAGAATGGCAGGTTTTAATGACTTCATGTCCCGTAAATGACTCTCTGGGTTTGTTTCTTGCTTGTCTTTTAAATCTTTTCACCATGTCGCATTAACCATGAACAATCAAATCTCTTTTCTCCCCACCTGTGCTTGCATCTGAATCCAGGGTCTTTGCAAGGAGTAAACAAGTGCCTTAGCCCCTAATTTCCTTATATGCCTTCCAAACGATCACTGTGTGTCACTCTGAAGAATTAGTAAATATATATATATATATAAAAGATATATTTAACAACTGTAACTACCTTAAAAACTTAGTCCAATTATTTCTTTAAATTTTTTATTATTAGAAAAATAGTCAATTAAACTGTGAACATGCTTCAGCTCTTCATGTGTTATCATAGATAGAAAATTATTTTAGATCTTCCAGAAATAGAGTAGAAAACCTTCTTTAGTGAAAACCTTCTTTCTTCTTGTTACTGGAGCCATGCCTAAAATTTGCATTTTAATTATCCTTTTCTGTATCCTACTGTGGTTTGCTGAGAAATCACATTTTCTCAATTTAGCTCATAGTTTTAAATCTCTGTGGTATCATATCCATCTCATTAGAAAACATGACAAATTTCATGATTCACAAGCTCAGAAGATCTGTTTGGGTTAATTTCAAAAGTGCTGAAGAGACTATAAAGTGAGGAGAAGCCAGGATAAAAAGAACACAGCCTGTCTGAGTACGACGTAGATCTACTTTTCAATCCTAAAGATTATGAGCACTCTTAAGTAACAGCACTAAGAAAAATCCCACAGCGACAAGTGATTTGGTGTTTCATATGTTACCAATTTCTTAAAATACCATTTTAATTAACCTTTGAGTAGGTCCTAATTCATCTAAAGTGAATAAACTGTGATCGTAGCTAAATTAAAAGGAAAGTCTAGATCATCTATAAGTTTCTAAAACTAGTTATGATAGTGAAGTTAATGCTAAGGCAAAGGATTATTCTCTCTTTAAATTAAGTATCTTATACAGAAAAAAAAATTGTATTAATTCTTACCAAAGTATTTAAGAGGTTGTATTTCATTTATGGATAATTTGCACCTGAAAATCTTTTTTAAATTTTATTTTATTTTTATTTTGTATATATGTGTGTTTTGCTTGCATGCACATATGCATCCACGCATACAATGCCTGCAGAGGCCAGAAGAGGGCAATGGATCCTCTGGGACTTGAACTATGGATGGTTGTTAGCCACTGTGTGGGTGCTGGGAACCAAACCCCGATCTCTGCAAGAGCAGTCCAAACTAACTTCTGAGTTCTCTCTTCAGCCCTAATATCTGAAAATCTTGATGTCTCAAATGGAATGGACATTTCATTTAGGAAATGTTACAAATGCAATACAAAATAATATATGTAACATTTCTATTCTTTATTCAGTCATTACATTGAGCCATAGGAGTGCAGCTATACATAGGAGTGTGACTATAACATAGCAAGCGAAAATGCACTTGGCCTTATAGAGCTTAAATCTTACTGGAGGTAATGGGCAACAAACAAATTCATGATCATAATGACAGAAAATGGTAAATGATATAAAAAATAGAAACTTCAAACTTTGAGTAACTTCTGTGGTTAAAATAGTTATTGACTGACTTCTATATGTAAAATTTGTAGAATATTGCTTGAAAGGTAGATGAAAGAAATCACATCCTAACCACAGCTAGGTGTTTAATGTATAGACTTAATTGTATTATAATTCCAAAAGACTAAAGTATCTGCAAGAAGCATTATTTTCTCAATATATTCTAACTGCACAGAGTTAATTTATTTGGGAACTTTAGAATTAAAGGATATTTCCTAGAATTTAACAAAATGCATTTGAATGATTATCTTGCTTGAACATCAGAGTATAAGTGGTATTTACTTATCAAGTATATCTGTCAAAGCAGTTATACTGTTTAATTAATCTTGAGAGCCTTACAGCAAAGACCAGGTCCTATGTGCTTTAGAATATCTTGGATAAAGATGCTGTGGAAATTGGACCTCTAAGAGACTGTTAAAATATATGCAAGTCTTAAGGTGCTTTTGATTTGCATTTCTCTAATTACTAAAGATGTTGAGCACTTTTTAAGATGTTTCTTAGCCATTTTTATTTCTCAGTTTGAGAACACTGTCCAGGTCCTTAACCCATCTTTTTATTGGGTATTTTTTTTAAATGTCTTTGTTCTTTTGAGTGCTTTGTATATTCTGGATATTTATTATCTTTCAAATGTGTAGCAGGTGAAGATTTCCTACCACTTGATGGGTTTCCTCCTCACTTCCTTGATTGTTTCTTTTGTACTACAGAAGTTTTTTTAGTTTAATTGTTGTTTAATTTAGTTTGATTTTTTTTACCTTAATGCCTGAGCAACTGATGTCCAATTTAGAAAGTCCTTTCCTATACCTATGTTTTGTAAGTTACAACCTATGTTTTCTTCTATCAGTTTCAAAGTTTCTGGTTTCTTATTGAGGCCTTTGATCCATTTGGAGTTGACTTTTGTGCAGGATGATAAAGGTCCAATTGCATTCTTCTGCAGGTAGAGATCCAGTTTTGCCTACAGCATTTGTTGAAGATGCTGTCTTTCCTCCATTATGTGTTCTTGGCAACTTTGTCAAATATTAGGTGGCTGAAATTGCATGCACTCATGTTTTGGATTTTCTATTGTGTTCCATTGATCTTTGTGTCTTTTTTGTGCCAATGCCAAGCTGTTTTATGATTATAGCTCCATAATGTAGTTTGAGATCTCTCTTGGGATTTTCAGTGTCTTCAATAAAGTGAAAGACTTACAGTGGATGACATAAGAAGCCCCACTGAATATACTGAGCTGCTGTCATTAGGAAGAGAGAGATACTTGCTTTGTTCAAAAATGGGCAGAAGTAGCAAAAGACATTATGGAAGGACTGTTTCAACCTTTTATCAAAAATGTAATATAGACAAAAAGGCATGACATGATTTGATGGCAGTATCAATGATTATCATTTAAATTTTCTTACCCAATTTATATCTGCTAAAGTAAAACATCATAAGCTTCATTCCATTAACAGAATATTTCCTAGTTCATCCATTGTAAGGTTCTTGGTTTATAACAAGAGTAGAATGCCTTACAGAAACTGTGAGACTTCTTAGTCCCATCATGTTAATTCTTATAAAGTTAGAACTCTATGGGTTTTCCTCAGGGTTTCATGAGCTAGTATGCATTTTCAACTCATGTCACTGCTATGAACTATCTGTTATAATACTTTTTTGTACTAAATTTACTTTTCCTGCATGTTTGTAGACCAAATCAAAACCTGTGATACAGATACATTTATACATCTCATTTTGTTTACCCCTACAAATGTATTTTTGCTTTATATATTTATATCATACTTTTTTATTATTTGGATGTAAAAGTTCTCTAGTTAAGGTTTTCTTCAAAAATTCCTTTTTCCCAAAACGTGTGACTTTGTGGGGATTTCTGTTATTTTACACCCTTTTCTGTTTCCCCTGTAAGCACTGCACTCAACCTCTTAGATTCAGATATGTTCCACTGAAAACAGTGGTAGAGTAACATTTTATGTTCTTTCCAGTATCTTTCTTATTGGAACTCAACACTACATTGACTACTGAAATTGGGATCTTCTGAGTACTACATCTTTAGAAAGCAGTCTACAGTGCTTTTCACCCTCTGCAGTGATCATCAATGCTGTGTCATAGTACCATAGCATTTTTTGAATTACTTTTACTTTAGAATTCTTTGTATGGAAGGTTAGAGAAGTTTTTATTCTCCCATCTAATAGTACCATGATATTTTCTTGCAGATATTTGTAATCAGTATGACTTTTCATCAGTATATGAAATATCCAAATACCACACACAGGTTTCAAATTTATACTTGTAGCCATCTTGACTTAAGGTTTAAAACAATAGAAAATTAATTAAAGATAATTTTTAGAACATTCTCAATAAAGAAGTAATACCAGATAGACAGATGCAATATATTTCTCAGATTGTCCAATCACCCGCTTAAGTAAAAAAACATAAAATGCTGTGTGACCAAGCATTCCTGTGGGCTTCGTGGCAGAGCTGCACTTTCAAGAATTTAGAGAGGAAGTCACTAGAAAGACTGGCCAAGGGACCAGAAGCAACCTAGATCAGAAGTAGCCCCCCTCCCCTCCCCGTGTTCTGCCGCACTGTGACATGGGCTCTGTGTTCATTCCGGGTTGGATATGAGGTGGTGGTAATATTTATATGAGATGTTCCTTTTACACTCACGTGCAAACTAAACCTGTTGTGTCATAATAAATATTCTTATGACAATTCATCTAGAGCATTGCAGCAGTTCTGTCTCCAATAGTATGTTTGATTTTTGAGATGATATGAAATAAAATATGAAAGAAATTTCTTGGGCTACTAGATTTTTAGACCTCTCCAAACCCAGTTTGAGCTTTTCCTCAGGACCCCTTATAACTAAATGGTGACAACTGAATGTGCCATAGCATATTATTCTGCACATAGTCAACCTAAATACATAAACATATATTTATACAGTCAACCAACTTAGCAAAAAAAAGTGGTGAAATTGATAACACGTTTCATAAAAGAAACACCACTTTGGTCAAGGTTGTCCAAATACTTTGCTCCTGAGAGGAAACAAAATGGCTGCTGAAGTGATTGGCATTGAGTGTATGCCTAAGAATAGCCTGAAATAAACAGCATGTAAATCTATGCACTGTGGGCATGATGAGCAGGGTGAACTGAGGGAATGATGGAACACAGGAAGGCATCGCA